GCAAAATAAACAACAAACAAAGCAGTCTACCATCAGCATAAAGCTCACACTTTTTATATATATGAAACAAAGGCATGAGAAGCAGCTGGGCTGGTATGCAGGGCACCTGAACTCTGTTCTGGGCTCCTCCACTTCAACTCTTTCTGTTCCGTTTCCCTCACACCCTTTGTCTGTCTTGTCTCTTTAGAAATGTAAGCTCATTGGGACACAGATTGTTTTTTATTAAGTGTTTATCCAAGAGTGTCAAATCTACTCAGAGGTCAGAGATGAATTACATGTTTAATGATGGTTCATAGCCAGGATATGAATTCAGGACTTCATAGTCCCTCAATCCACAGTAGGGATGTAAAAACAACTTGTTTAACCGGATAAAGGGAGGAGGAGTGAGGGGACCACTGCAGCACAGCTGGGCCGGAACACTCCCCCACTGCAGGCAGGGACTGTTCCGGCTGGGACAGAGCAACCTGGGACCCCTGTGGACAGAGGCTATTCTGGAGTCCAGAGCAGCTCCTGCCAGTGGGGTGCCCTGTCTGCAGTGGCAGGCAGGGAGCTGTCCCAGCCCTCACCGATTAACCATTAACTGGAACTGATAAGCCTCACCCGTTAATGGTGGCTGATAAGCCACTCCCTTTTCTGCTCCATCTAGTAAAATGATCAGCAATGGAAAAGTTACTGTTGATAACAACATGTCTTCATCACGATGCTTTAGAAATGCCACTTCAATGAGATTAACAGGGAACACGTGTTTGAGCCACTGTTTCAGGCTCTCTAAAGACTCTGGCACCCAGTGGTATGCTCCATTCATGTCAGGAAAGTGAGCTTGCAGCCATGAAGGCTGGAGATCTCCTGGTTTTTAATTAAAGCTTAGAGTCTATGCAAAGTGAGTACATAATGCTAACGTACATAATGCTAAAATGAGTAATATAAGTTCGAAGCAAGGGGTTTAGTTCAAACTAACGCATCCCAGCACGCACTTCACTTTTGAAACAGCTGGCATTTGGAGATCGCGCCGGCAAGATCATGCTAATGAAGCACGGGATATTTAAATCCCCACTTCACTGACTATTTCGAATGCCTGCATTTGCATCCCTAGTTCGAACTAGGGCACAAGTGTAGACATACCCTAAGAGATTAGGGTCCCAATCTGAGGAGGGCCACTTGGCGCTAATGTAATAGAAAAAATAAATAATAATAATTCCATGAAAAGAAGGGTACCTCTGCAGCAGGCCCGGCGCTGTCGGAGGAGTCATTCCAAATTCCACATACCTCTGTTGGAAATAAATTAATAAAAATAAAATCAATACATTGCAAATTTCAGTCTTTTACAATTGAATGAGACCTAACTGCCAGGCCTATGTGTGAGCAGACTGCAAGTTAATTGACAAAGATTTACAAACATGTTTTGTTAAGTGGCTCAAGACCTGGAAGTACAGCTCCAACAGTACAACTAGCTCATTTATGTTTGCTCATTCTCCTTATGTGGCTTAGCCAACCTTTTGAACATATGCTCTCAGACTGGCAGCTCAAGACCCCTTTCAATGTATATTTAATATAAATGTTATGAAAAACTGAGGTTTTTTTTTTTTTTTTTTTTTACACTTTGCATAAGTGGGGAGATACAATGACACACAGGTAGTGTTAGATTTTAATTTATCTCTGCCTAAATTGATGTATTTTGTATAAGTCTTCCAGGTCTATTTAAAAGCTCTATTTAAAAGAGCATTGTCTCATGGTTAGAGCAGGGGAGGTACAATGAGGATGTCCTGATCTCAAATATCCTGATGGAAAACAGAGAACTCACTAAGATAATATTCTAACTAAGCTAAAACTGAAAGAAATGTTTTTCATTTAAATACCAAGACTTATCAGGGAAAAATCACAGCTGCATGAACCAGGAAAGCAGTCTCTGAAAAGAGGTGGTTTAAGCAATTAGTTTTCCATTTTGTAACTTTTTACATCACCAATACCCCTGGTCCCAGTAACCGCTCAATATCCATGAAGAACCTTGATCTAAAAGGTATAACACCAGTGACCATGGCTCTACTGGTGCTAACACCCTGTTCAGAGAAGCCTTTCAAGATGCATCACTCACACTAAAAGGGTTGTTTACTTCCTGGGCTGGACCATATGGTGGTCCCCACTGGGTGCCTGCAGCTCCCCTCCCGGCTCGAGCAGGAGTGTTGTTTACCGGCTGTCCTGCAGAGACCCCCGGTGATGTGATGGCAGTGGAACTTGCTGCTTGGCTACTGGGAGCCACCAGGGCAAAGGCATCATCCAAGAGAGAGTGCATGGTCTGCCGGGCCTCTTCAATGGATGGCTGTGGAGGGATGTACTGAGAGGCTGGGTAGGGAGGCAAGGCTGGGTACTTCCCAAGATCAAGAGAAGGTGTCTGCGGTTCCGCAGGCACGTCGGGATCGGACTGCAGATAACAGAGAACGGAAGCAGCAGTGAGACTTTTACATAAGCAATTTCAAGTTACAGTAACATGTAACTTCAGAACAAGCTGAGGGTTCTTTAGCTGGAAGCAACGAAGGAGCAGAGCCATCCCATGCAAGGTACGGTTCAGGGCAACCACATCAGGCCCTGCTCTTTGGAGGGCCCCCTCAGGCCCAGGGCAGTCTAGGGGACTAGCAAGGACCTGGGGCCAGTGGCAAGAATCAGACCTGCACCCACACTTCCCAGCAGCAGGAAGTGGAGCGACCTGGTCCCAGCCCATTGGTTGATTAGTAACCAGAATGCAGCTGCAATAGTCTAGGAAGCAGTTTGCCACATGATATTAAACTCAAAAGTTCTTTGTCACTATTATTAACATGGAAATAAAGCTAATTTGTTGATTACAATCTCAGAATGATTTTAGTTATTTCTTGACTGCTATCTCAGTTTAAAGAGAAAAAAAACCCCTATCATTGGGGGACTCGAGTTTTCTACTCCCTGAGAAACTAGCATAAAACATTTGGAATTATTTAATCACCAGCATGAGCACAAGAATGTACTGAACTGACCATGCTCAAAAGATCCTGTAGCATGCACATGTTTTCCTGGGATAGGTCTTTCCAGGATTTATATTATACTTTCGACTGCTGTTCCCTGGAGAATCCTTTTTCTATTTCATAGCATCTCTTACAATCACTGTGCTTAATGGCCCCATTTCCAACTCCTTTTATATAGTTTGTTGGGACTGAGAAAAATGCTTTCCAGTGCTTCTGTTTTGAAGGCAAAGGAACACCAGCACACGAGTGTCAAAAGACAGGCTTTCATTCTTTTGCCCAAACATTCTGCATAGGAGATTCCTGACTTACTCGTTTTCAGCCAAATGGAATTACCCCATAAATGAGCCACTCAGAGCACGCCAGGAACACAGGCGACTCGCCTAAGTCACTGTTATCGTAAGTGCTAGCAGTGTATTCCTGTCATCTGAAAGACAAACATACAATATATGCAGAATTGTTGACTCCTGGTGGTCTTTTGTATGTCCCATCACTGTCAGTGGTGATTAGCCTGTCCTTCTCAGCATCAATGGGGCTGCCATTTATTTGGTGTCTCCGACGCTGCTTGGGAGAACGTTTTGCACGTGAACTAAAAATAAGTTTTAAAAAAGGAAATAAAAACAAAGAGAAAGTTCAGAACTTTTTAATTTACTAGAACTTTTAAAAAGTTGGTGATTATATTATTTGTTATCTTAAGTTCTATGTGCAGAAGGTATTCCACTGCTTCCTAAAATATTTTGGTTTTGGTGTGTTGTGCTTCAGGACCCCACAAAAGGAGAGTTCTCTGCCAGCCACCAGTCCAGCTTTCCTGATCCCATGTTTCGATAGCTCATCAGAAAGCATAATGAGAAAGAATGAGCAAGAAATACCAAGCCCAAAAAGGTCTTATAAGAGGTAGAAACTGTACAGGCACATGTAGCTACCATTATGTGCTTAGCAATAGTTCCTATCTATGCCGAGACCCAATCTTGCTTTCATAAAGTCCTTGGGAATTTTGCTAAATATTTTAATGGGAGAAGTCTCAGGCCCTTAGCACTGGGATGCAGTATCAGGATTGCACCCTGATGTAGGGTTTCAATCTAGAATGTTCTGATCCACAGACAAGTATTGCAACCAATTGAGACAAAATGGTGTGATATGATGGGCAAAAGGCTAATGAAAGGAAAGCAAAATGCAGGACAATGTAGCACTTTAAAGACTAACAAGATGGTTTATTAGATGATGAGCTTTCGTGGGCCAGACCCACTTCCTCAGATCAAATAGTGGAAGAAAGTAGTCACAACCATATATACCAAAGGATACAATTTAAAAAAATGAACAAATATGAAAAGGACAAATCACATTGCAGAACAGAAGGAGGATGCGGGGGGGTGGGAAGGGGGAGGAAGGAAGGTAAGTGTCTGTGAATTGCTGATATTAAAGGTAGGGAGAGTGGGATGTTTGTGAGTTAATGGTATTAGAGGTGATAATTGGGGAAACTGTCTTGGTAATGGGTGAGAAAGTTCAAAGACTTGTTAAGTCCTTGTTGGTAAGTGTCGAATTTTAACATGAATGACAGTTCAGAGGATTCCCTTTCAAGTGCAGATGTAAAAGGTCTTTGTAGCAGAATGCAGGTGGTCAAGTCATTGAGAGAGTGTCCTTTCTGGTTAAAATGGCAAGAAACTGTTTTTTCTTTGTGATCTTGTCTGATATCTGTTTTGTGGGCATTAATCCTTTGGCGAAGTGTCTGAGATGTTTGTCCAATGTACATAGCAGACGGACACTTTCGGCACATGATAGCGTAGATTATATTTCTGGATGCGCAGGGATATGTGTTCTTGATCTTATAACTCACTTGGTTGGGTCCAATAATGGTATCAGCAGAATGAATATGTGGACAAAGCTGGCAACGGGGTTTGTTGCAAGGGAAGGTACCAGGGTTGGTATTAGTGTGGTATGTCCTGTGGTGGTTGGTAAGACATTTCTATCACTAATGAAAGGAAAGAAATGCTAGTTTAAACCATGAACACAAATCTCACTTATGGCCATAATAGACCATATTTCTCAAACAGGCCATCACTTCTCTGTAACTTTCAAAATATTTCTCTTCTTTTTTCCATTCTAAGCAATACCTGGTTCCACCTCTATTACTATTTTTAAAAGAATCATTATTCATAGATTAACTTGTACATTTGAATGAAGGATAGGTTCTAAACAGTTTGCCTTTATGGAAACAGAACGGTTTTTGTATGGTTGGTTACGGATTGTCTTCTGTACACCCCTTGAGGCACACCCCCTGCTGCACACTGACAGTTTGGAGAGTCCTCAGGCAGGGGGTATCTCCTATGACACATCCTGCAATATGTAAGCCATCTGAAAAACCACATGAAAACTGCCTGTCACTTTGTGACAAAGGTCATCTGTACACTTAATTATGTCATAAAGAAAAAGAAAAAGAAAAGATTTGGTCATCCTTTGGCAAAGCATCAACATTCTTTTGAGAATGACCTTGGTAACAAAGATGCTGTCACTACATACAGACTGGCTGTGTCTAGACTGGCCAGTTTTTCCAGAAAATCAGCCGCTTTTCCGGAAAAACTTGCCAGCTGTCTACACTGGCCGCTTGAATTTCCGCAAAAGCACTGACTTCCTACTGTAAGAAATCAGTGCTTTTTGCGGAAATACTATGCTGCTCCCGTTCGGGCAAAAGTCCCTTTTG